GCGTGGCGGAGGCGGCCGGAGTGCCTCCAGGAGTCGTGATTGGTGGGCTGCGGGGCGGGACGGGGCGGGAACTCCCTCTCGGCGCATGCTCCGTGGGGGGAAGAGGGCGGAGTCAGCGGTGTCTGTTGGACCCGGAGCCTGGGCCCTGGGCGACCTGCGCATCCCTCCGGCGGCAGGTGAGGACCGTTCCGGGGCGGCGCGGGGCCGGGCCCGGGCGCCGGCAGCTGCCGCCGCAGAAGCTCCGCGAGCTCGGCGAGCCGGGCGGACGGGCCCCGGCGTCGGGCCTGGGCGGACACCCGGCCCGGTCCCTCCCGGCTCCCGCAGCCGCCCACCCCCGGCTCGGCCTGAGGGTCCTGCAGAGGCCGGCTCGGACCCGGCGCTCCCCGGGTTTGTGACGTCCCCGGAGCGCGCCCGGGCTGCAGCCTCTCCCGTGTCCGCCGGTCCAGTGCCCCCCCTTCACGCCCTTGCGTGACCCCAGCCGGGAACCCACCCACCCATCTCACCACCATCACCCACCCACCCACCCCGTCTCCCTGCACCGCCACCCGAACAATCGTGGAGCATCCATGCCGCAGCAAGGGAACGGGATTTCACATCGGCTGCCGTGTTAGTAGAAACTGCCGACGAGATGCACGTCGGGGCGGGGTGGGGGCTTGCAGGGGGTCCAGCAAACTCAGCTTGCTGAGGGCCGCGTGGGCGCGATGGCAGGGGTGTTACAGACCGGGCGTCTAGACCTGGCCCCCACGCGCGCTGTGGCATCTCAGGGCGAGGCAAAGCAGGGCCCAGGTGCGGAGCCGCGGTGCCCGGTGGGTGGTGGGGACCCCTGGACCCAGATGCGTGATCCGGTGGGTGATGAAGCCCAGGTGTGCGGGCGCCGTTCGCCCCGGTGGTGGCATTTCTCAGTGTTGGAAAAGGGGTCCCGAGTGGACCAAGTTTCAGACGCTGTGTGTTGATAGGACAACATACCAGTGTTTCCTATCTAAAGACCCAGTGAGCGTTATTGGAGGATTCTTGCTAGCTCTCTTGCATGCCAGAGGCCGAAAGTCAGCCTTAGGTGCAAAGCCGTTGAGGGGCCAGAGAGATAGTCCAGTGGGCAGGACACTTGCCTCACTTGTGGCCAACCTGCCTGATTCGATCCTGGAGCACTGCTGGAGGAGTGGTCCTTGAGCACAGAGCTAAGAGGAAGCCCTGCACACTGCTGGGTGTGGCCCCCAGAAAAGAAGGGGGGAGCAGTCAGCTGAGATTAGCTGGGGGAATTGGGGGAAAGTCTCAAAATCTCAAGTCTCAGCTGTGACCTTCCCTGTAACTGGCTCGGTGAACTGGACTGGCGGTTCCTGGTTCTGTTGGTAACTGCTTCTGGGCCGGACCCTGGCTAAGCCATTATGGTCTTGGGCCTTGGTTTGTAATACAAGACAGCTGGGCCGGATCTTTGTAAAATCTTGTCCTTTTGTGGCTGGGATTAGAGCTAAAAGAGAAGATGATTGCTTCCATTCATGAAATATCCACTGTGTGCTGTTACAGTCGGAGTTTACATCCCAACTCATTAACTGGTCGCAGCAAACCTCTGAGAACAGACTGTTATCCTCATTACACAATGAGGACACTGAGGCAGGAGGCGTGTTTGCAAGGCTCTAGGTTGGGGAGCTCGGAGCCGAACTGTTGGGTTTTAGTTCCTTCCTGAAATTCCTGTTCTGATGGTGGTGCTGAGGTTTCTGGGAAGAGGAGGGAGGCAGTGCTGCTTTGGGGAGCATTGTTGAAGAAGAGTGAGGTGTATGGTAAAAGGAGAGTCTATTCATGCTGAAGGGTGTTGGGTAGAAAATGGGTCTCGCCTGATGCTCCCTGTGCTTCAGTTCTCTCTACCCTCTGCGGACCAAAGCATCAAAATAATTCTAGGTTCTTTTCCGTCATGATTAGATATCAGTGTATTGATTTATATGTGGCCCAAATCCCAGAAAATGATTTTTCTTTATCTATTACTTTGTCATTCTGGAACACGGACATTGTAGATAACTTGTTGATTTTAGTATCGAACAGGAACATAAGCAGAAAAGAGTATCGCCTCCTTGCGCTGTGTTGGAGTTCAAAGTCGGGTATACGGATTTCACGGTTATTTGTTGTGTTAACACGTATGGCATACTGTTCTTCACTGTCGCAGTATTCCAGCTGTATTCTGAAAAGGACTGGATCTTGGGCTGGGCGCATGCTTTGCCATGAGCCTGGCCAGGAAGGCCCCCAAACAACAGCCGAGATAGTGCGTATTTCACATTTGAAGCACTTTCACATATTGCTGAGCCGGAGGGTCAGCCAAGTTGCTGCCTGCGGTTGCTGAGTGCTCCCAAGATCACGCTCCGTTGGCGTCTCTGTCCACACTCCATTCGCCACACCAGAGGCAGGAGTGGAACGTGCTCTTCTCTGGGGGAACATGCCAGCGGAACTTTTCCACTCAGAGACACCCCGAGAGAATGAGAGGGAGAATCTTTCCACTGCAGTTAGATAGGTCGAGTAACAAAACTACTTTTGAAAGGGTTTTTAACAGCAGACTGCTTGGGTTTATGTAGATGTATATGCATGTGTGTGTGTGTGTGTGTGCGCACGCGCTGTATCTACTGTGTGTGTGTACACGTTTTCTTTACTGGAGTGATAACCTGGGAAATCAGACCATGCGAAGAGCTGACGGAAGGCAAGCTGTTCACCCCCCAATCATGTGCAGTGAGTTCATTCTCCAGCGGTGCAGTGCAGTGCCTGCAGCTTTTAGATGCAGCACTGTCTTCCATGAGGGCTAGCCCTGTGTGTGGACACCAAGGGCTCCGCGTGGGTTCCATGCTAGCATCTGATGGTCACATGCTTTTGTTGCAACGGAGAGGGACCCTTTCCCGAACGGGTTGGGATTCTAGTTCTGGATGCAGCGGGTTTGGGTGTCACTGCTCAGGCCGGGGAGACATGACGTCTTGGCTCTATAGTAGATGTTCAGCAAATACTTAAAAGGGTAACGTTGACAGACACTCCCAAGTTCCTTCAGGAAGTAGCTCTGATCGCCAGTTTTCGCCAATAAGAGCTGGTAGCATTATTTAGTAAATGTTGTGCGCATTGAAGGCAGAAGAGTATCAGCAATAGGGTGGAACACTTTCCACAGAACTTTGTGCTTTTAACCTTTTTTGAGTCTTGAATGGAAATAATCAACTGTTAATATGTGCGCACTTACATCCTAACTTATTTTAACCAGAACTTGAAGATGACAAGTTGACATTTTTTTGTTTCATATTTTGAATATGAATTTTGAATGCCTAGTATTTTTCTTCTGAACTTTCATGTGCAAAGGTATTAAATGCTTTATGGGAAAACAATATTTTAATAATAATTTTTAAAGAACAGCTAGTATATTTTTTATTTTGATGTTTAAACCACTCCTGGCTCTGTGCCCAGAAGTCACTTGTGTGTCTCAGAGGACCCTGTGCAATGCCAGAGACCAAACCTGGTCAGCTGCATGCAAGGCAAGCACCTTACTCTCTGTACTATCTCTCTGGCTCACAAATAATATTTTCAAAGATACTTTTTTCATTATTGCCATCAAACAATGTAGGATTTTTTCACCTTGTTTTTCTTTATTCATAGTTATATATATTTCATGCAATTAACACTGGTGATTGTCTAATTTTCTAAACATGTTTTCATGTTATTATACACGTTGTTATACAATCATAATTGTTTTTAGTTGCCACTCCATTAGAAGTCGTGACTTTAACTAGATTCTGAAAGGGTGTTTCACTGTTGGCAGTTTACTAGATTGTAGATTAGATGTTGCAGGGCTGGAGCGATAGCACAGCGGTAGGGCGTTTGCCTTGCACGCAGCTGGCCTGGCCGACCCAGGTTCAATTTCTTCGCCCCTCTCGGAGAGCCCGGCAAGCTACCGAGAGGATCTCGCCCACATGGCAGAGCCTGGCAAGCTCCCCGTGACGTATTCGATATGCCAAACACAGTAACAACAAAGTCTCCAATGGAGACGTTACTGGGCCCGCTTGAGCAAATTATATATATATATATATATATATATATATATATATATAAACACTCAATATATATATGTATAATTTGTTTCCTTCTTTGAAATATTTTTCAACTATATTTCCAAAAGAAAATACTTGATGAAAAATATTTCAGTGCTCTTGACAAACTGGTGGTTTGATCCAGTGCTCTTGATCCAACGGTGGATCTCAGGCAGAAAACTGCAGGCTTCTGGGAGTGGGGGTGAGCCGAGTCTCCTCCCTTCCCAGTAGGCATCTGCTACCATCCTCTCCCACACCTTTGGATGGCCCACCGAGAGCCCAGTGTGAGCCCGCACGCTGGATGGGAAAGTCCCCTAGAAGCCCCCAGACTCGGTGTGAACCAGCTCAGACAGAGATGTTAGTAACATTGTGACAGTGATCACAGATTGACTTTTATCACCTGTTTCCTGATCATTCGTTTGCCATTTTGTTGTTGTAACAAGTAATGTGAAGTTGGTGTGATGGTTCTACTGAGGGACAAGGTCAGGGCTGGGCGGGACAGTGGGGGCAGCGGGGGACTGGGTGGGCACACTGAGTGTCCGGAACAGCTGTATATCAGCAACTTTTCCAAGCACAGTGTTTAAAAGAAACATATTTAAACATTATAAATTTTACTTTGTTGTGCAGCTTTACAAAAAAGATCACACATTTTAAATTTATGCCCAGTATTTAATGTTTTTTACCCCCATAATTTGCTAACATCCCTTTTCGAAGAATCATAAACAGTGCTATAATATATTTCTCTGATCACCAAGAAACTCCATGTTTCTTTTGTTTATTTATGACTTTTTGTCAACTGTTTGTGCGAATGCTTTGCTTGTTTTCCCATTGGGTCTTTTTTCTTAGAAATAGAAAACCATGTGAAAGGCTCCTTCTGGATCACATGATTGTTTCCTGAAGGCACGCTTAGGTCTGGTCGCTGTCTGTGTTCACGCCTCTGACTTTTCCCTCTTGCAGACCGTCCATCCAGGACTTGGTGTCCAAGGCACAGAGGCTCGCTAGCCACGATGATGAACGCGGACATGGACGGTACGTTCTTCCTCATCCCCTTTGTCCCTTCCTGGCCGTGTGGCTGCCTTTGCTTCATGAGCGGTGAAGAGAGCGGGCAGGGAGCATCAGGCAGGCTTGGCGCTTGGCTGGCTTGAGACGGGGCTCAAGCCTCTTGCATTCATTGACCGAGATTGTGGGCAACGTCCGTCTCCCTCTCGGGGCCCGCATCTCTCGTGTGGGGATGTAGCTTTTTGATTTTACAGCCTCGTATAAGTAAAACAATGAATAGAAAATATTTTGCGGATCTTCAAGTGCCACGCTGCACACGGGCTGTCTACTGCTCCCAGTAAATTTGAAGCTTTTCGTTACAGCAGTTGATGCTGAAAATCAGGTGGAACTGGAGGAAAAGACGCGCCTCATTAACCAAGTGTTGGAACTCCAGCACACACTCGAAGGTGAGCTTGCATTTTTCGGTTCTCTTGGATAACATCTAGCTGACAGCGTAAGGATTTGTGATGCTGAATTTTTCTCGTTAGCGTGCACAGTTTCCCAAAGTCCATTTTCATCACCTTTACCCCTTTTCCCTGTAACTTGGACAGGTTTTATTTTGTGTGGGTCTTGTTGTTGTTGTTACTTTATTGCAGTAACAGCAAGTCTCACAATGGAGACGTTACTGGGCCTGCTCAAGCAAATCGATGAACAACAGGAGGACAGAGATACAGTGGTTACTTTATCATTTTTGTATATCATTTTGGAGCCCAAACCCAGGGCTTTCCCTTGTAAGGCCGGTACCACTCCTGAACTACATCCCTAACCACTGGTTGCTGATTTTATTTCTGTTCGGGGAGGAGGGTGTTGGGCTGTACCCTGTGGTGCTCAGGAGGCCATTCCTGGCCTGTGTTCAGGAGTGACTGTTGGCGGTAAGGGGGGGTCACATGCGGTACCAGGTATCCAGCTGGGTTTGGTCTCATGCAGGGCAAGTGCCTGCCCCCTGCCCCCCCCAACGACCCTCCTTTCTTGGCCCTTTGCTGGTGGTTCTGAAGCATAGCTGTGCCTCAGGATGTCAGCATTCTGTGCTTCTCAGTTCATCGTGACGCTAGGGAAAACAGTGTCCGAGCCTCAGATGAAGCAGGAGTTGATAACAGGCTTCTCTCCCTCTCTCTCTCTTTCTCTCTCTCGCTCTCTCTTTTTTTTTTTTTTTTTTTGGCTTTTTGGGTCACACTTGGCGATGCACAAGGGTTACTCCTGGCTCTGCAGTCAGGAAATCACTTCTGGCGGTGCTCAGGGGACCATATGGGATGCTGGTAATCGAACCCGAGTCGGATCAGCCGTGTGCAAGGCAAACGCCCAACCCGCTGTGCTATTACTCCGGCCCGAGGCTTCTCATTTTCTTACAAGCATACCAGCACTCCTGCCTCTGGGTTTCTCGTGGGGTGTTGGTTTTCTGATGCCACCGTGAGCAGGTGGTGTCTCGTTGGTGGCACCCTTCGTGCCACACTGAGGAAAGCCAGGCGCCCTCCTCCACTCCTCAGGGTCCTGCCGCTCCCGCCGCCTCCTGTCGGCTCAGCCTGGTCCTGCCAGGCCTCACCCTGGAGGCACCCACAGCTCAGCCTGGCGCTTTCCTCCCTTTCCCGTGGGTCACACTCAACTTATCCAGAGACGGTGCTTTGGCTGCGGACAGTGCCGCGGGAACGGCTCTTGGCTCAGTCCCCAGAGCCCCATATGGTCCCCTAAGTACCACTCGGAGTGACCCCTGAGCGTGGAGCCAGGAGTAAGCCCTGAGCACTTCTGGGTGTGAAAGCTTGTAACTGCCTCCCGGTGATTCAATAAAATTGAGAGAATCCGAAAAGGGGTTTCCCTGACTGAGCATCCCAGACGGGCAGCTTCTGTGTGGTTTCCCATGAAGTTCACCCCGTTTTCCTTTCCTCCTGCCCCTTGCTCCGGCCCCCTTGAGCGCGCATGCGCCCACGTGGTAGCACGTAAGTCCCGCTTGGCAGAGGGTTCTTTTGTCCCCGCTGCCTCTAGCCCTTCGAGAACGTTGTTCAGTCCTTAGTCGCATGAGCGAATGGAGGGTTGTAAAAGATACGGAACGATCACTTTGGACCCTGCTTGTATCCAGGATTTGAATTCAATTGTGATCACATTTTCTTAAATATTTCTGATGGACATCTTTATGTTGGTAAGACATGAACCAAATCCACATCTTAAAAGCAAAGTCCATTTTTTCATCTTTTTTAAAGTAACCACTTTTTAAAGTGTGGCCACTTACCATAAATGGTATTTACAAAGAATAGCATTAAAACTAATATGAAATCTCAAAAAATTTTTTTATTATTATTGATTGATGAAATCCCAAAATTTTAAGAGAATTTGGCTATTGATAATCACTGTCTACTTAACTTTTTTGGGGGTTGTTTCCTGACCACACCTGGAGGTGTTCGGGTCTACTCTGTAGGCAGTACTCATGAGGGGGACCAGGTGGTGGCATGTCTTGGACTAGGGTCCACCACATGCAGAGCAAGTACCTGAGTGGCCGTTCCGTCTCTCCTGCCCTGTACCTCAGCTTTGAAAGTATTCTGATTCAAAATGAACCTTAAGGACCTGGGGATGATATTAAAATGATTATCAGTAAGCATTTAACAATGTGGAGTCATTTGCTACCATTTTACTAATAATGGACCTGTGTGTGTGTGTGTGTGTGTGTGTGTGTGTGTGTGTGTGTGTGTGTGTTTTAATCTAGATCTTTCTGCAAGAGTAGATGCAGTTAAGGAAGAAAATCTGAAGCTGAAGTCGGAAAATCAAGTTCTTGGACAATATATAGAAAACCTCATGTCAGCTTCTAGTGTTTTTCAAACCACTGACACAAAAAGCAAAAGAAAGTAGGGACTGACGTCCCTTTGATTTTATGAAATTGCTGCTGATCTTTTCCTTTAAAATTTGGGTAGGTTCCAAAAGTTAGAGTGCTTTTGTCCGTGGCTTCATTGACTCTTTTTGAAGGGGATTCAGATCTCGGCAGAAATTTTCAGAGCAGAACAGAAGACTCCTGTGGTTTGTGTTAGTCTCTAAAAACGTGCAGGTGTATTGTAGAGACTTTATAATTAGAAATGCATATATTTATGAAACTTGAAAAAATGAATGTTTTATGCAATTTGCTTGGATTTATAGACTTAGCACTGTCTTTTATTCTAGACATAGTAAGCGATATAAGAAATTAACCCCGTTGTGAAAAAGTGACCAAAATCATGTACTGAATGCACAGCTTTATGTCCCTGCCCGCCGTTGTGTGCCTCTTCTCGTCTGCCTCCTCCTCCCCTGCCCTTCCCCTGCGGGAAACTCTGGTCTCTCCTGTGTCAGCGTAACTTCAGTAGTCGATCATCTGTGAGAATATTCTGAAATCTGTTTGTTGAAACTCAACCAAAATAAGGCGCTGGCTCAGTTGGGGCTTCTTGTTATACTTAGGATCAAGACTAGAAATCGTGTTGTGTTGTTTTCTCTTTGATCAGTTGAAAGCAGAAGCTATACAAATGGATTTTAATGTCTTTGAGATCGATTTGTCAAATTGGGAAGATGGGCTCAAGCTTCCCGTTGCACAAAATAACCCATTCTCTATCCGAAAAGATGAGCTCCGATTAAATGTGTTTGAAACAAGTTTTTTTAATTTCTTTTGAGGGAAACAAATCGGATGGAAGAGTACTTGGCAAACAGTAGTAACCAGATTCAAATGTGTCTCTCCAGATTTGCGTTATCTTCAGCACAGATGAGATCCTTGGGGAATATACATATATATGTATGTATGAAAGTGGATAGAAGTTTGACTAACCTTGTTAGTCACATTCCAGCCACATCTGGAAAAGAAGAGAGTTTGGTCTCAGTATTTATAGTACCTGGAGATCAACTTTGCAAAATAGCTTGAATTTAATAGTATCAGAATCATGAATAAAGTGGGAGTGTTTTACCTGCATAATAAGAGATGCATATTCAGTATTTTATCTCACTACTTTCTCCCAGAATTTTCTGTAAATCCAACTATTTGGTTTGCAGAGTTATTAGTCTTTAATAGTTTCTTAAAAAATTAATGTGTAGATGACCTTTGGTAAAGAAATTGCGGAATTAGAAGTGATACTAAGCTGTTACATAGGACAAGAGCCACTAATATAACTCTGTATTAGCAGGTTTGAGCTACTTTGACGTGGAATAATCTTGGGTTGTATTGGTGTACAAATTTGGTGAATGAATTCAGCTGAATGACTATAATAGATAAGCTACAAACATTTTACTTCCTTTTTGTGAACTAATTTACACTTAAGATTGTGTCGCAATTCTGCTTTGCTGTTTAATAAAAGCTGTTTGAGAAACTGTGTGTCTTGATGTGGTTGTTAAGAAACTGGGGTGTATGGTGAGAGATGCAGTGGCGTTTCCAGGATTTGTTCGAAACAGGGATGGAGCAGATCTCTGTCAAGAAACGGCCACGAGGGGGTTGGAGCAATAGCACAGCGGGTAGGGCATTTGCCTTGCACGTGGCCAACCCGGGTTCGATTCCCAGCATCCCATATGGTCCCCTGTGCATCGCCAGGTGTGATCCCAAAAGCAAAAAAAAAAAAAAAAAAAGAAACGGCCACGAGTTATTTAGGGGAATATTTTAAATTTATATATATAAAAAAAATACTTTTAAAGTAAATAATTCAAAGGATTGAAGAAATCGAGGAAAGATGGTTGTGCTTTGTAGGCTGGGCTCAGCTCCTGTGACACGGTGATAGAGAGCACAGGAGATCCCTTCCCGAGATCCATGCCAAGGGAGTGTCCGGGAGCCCGAAGCTGCCCCGGACTCCCTCCTGTGGCTGGAGGATGAGTCACACCCGCAAGAGCAGCCCGGGAATGTGGCCTCCAGCTGGAAGCATCGGCCATTTACAGCTTGGTGGCTGCAGAAGCAGGTGCTACGACTCCTGCTGGTACATCTGCATGGCTTGGTTCCCACACGGAGAATGTTTTTGACTCCTTCCGGTCCCATTCCCATTGGCTCAAAACCCAGGAATTCTATCTAGGTCCACCTTGGAGTGGTCTGACCACCCAATGGCAGAGGATTTGTTCTCACCTTGACCCCCCCCCCATTCTAAGGGGGTTGGTAGAGACAGGTGGGCCGCAGAGAAACACCCAGGGACACCAGCGAGGAAAGTCTGACGTGCCATCCCCCAATGCTCCTGCCTGACCCCCGGTCTACCCGCATAGTGTACTGCACTGCGCCACTGCCCTGGCTCTGAGGAGAGGCTGGGCCCATTCTCTTCCTGGGACGCTCAGCACATGCTGCTGGGAGCTTGGGCCCATTACTTCAGGCCAAGTTCCCTGTTCTGCAAGGCTCCCAAACTCAGCCCGAGTCCACGGAAACCCTGGGCTCTTTCCTAGATCAGAGTCACCAACAGACCTGTGCCTCTAGTGGAGGGGACACTGGCACTCTCTTGTCCCCCATTGGGCCTCCGTGGAAGGCACGCCTCTCTGACTTTCCCAGTGGTCAGGGACTGGAGCGATAGCACGGCAGATAGGGCGTTTGCCTTGCATGTGACCAACCCAGGTTTGATTCCCAGCATCCCATATGGTCCCCCGAGCACCGCCAGGAGTAATTCCTGAGTGCATGAGCCAGGAGTAACCCCTGTGCATCGCCGGGTGTGACCCAAAAAGAAAAAAGAGAAAAAGTCTTACCAAGGTCCCGCCCCGTGACCTGATGTGACTCAGGCAGCCACGGGCAATGCATGCATGTTAAGCACTGGATTTTCTCCATCCCTGCAAAATCGATCTCAAGTCTCAGGATAACCTTAGATGTTCCCCATTAACTGTATTTCTCCCTCCCAATACCCTCCAGCAGGGTGGATAGTTCTTCAATGTCACGAAGATCAGAGATCACCCTAAGTTGTCTGGACCACTGGTGAACCATGGAGCAGGAGACGGGGGTTCAGGGAGGGCTCGGAACTAGGAGAGGAGGATTTTCTTATCCTCTGGCTCCTCTGAAATAGCCTCCCTATATCCTGGTGATCAAAGTCAAGTTATAAAAAGGATTTTGTTGAAGAAAGTCCTTTTTTTTTTTTATCATTTGTAAAGTATAAAATTTAGACCCATGTCATATTGGGGTGGTGGTGGGGAATGATGCTAAAAGAAATCAGCTACATAATAGTTACTTTAAGATCATGTGTTTCTAGGTGGCTTGTCAAATGTTTCATGTTCTCGGAGCTTGAAGATAATCCCCAATTTTATAAAGGCTGGAAACTGCACGCCTGGAACACATTATGTGGCTGGGTACTGTTGGGTGGGTAGGTACTAACTCCGTCTGGTTCCTTTGGGCGCTCCACAGGCAGAGCAGGAAAAGGGAGTGATTGCAAGATGGGATCCATTCGGTGAGTAGGAAAAAGCCTGTCTCTGCTGCCACACACAGAGCGGGGAGGTGCTGCTCTTATTTCATTGTCATGTCACTGATGTCAGGGGTGAGAACGATGTCCTGAGATGTTTGGCCTCCTTTAGCTAAAAGGATAGGTGCTAGCGGGGCAGGGTGGAGGCACCTTGGGGTGTGTCCAAGGATGGGGTCTGTGTGTTTATCCAGGACTCCAGACCACTCCCCAGCTGGGAGAAAGTCCTTAATAGCAAGCACTTTCGTTTTCTCGCAGACTGAGATCACTCCCCAGGAGCCAGCCTCGAACTCGGGCACGGAAAGGCCTGGAAATTGTCGGTGCAGCAGCACGGCTGCTAAAATCGTGAAATTTGGCAGCTGCTCTGCGGCTTTAGGCGCGGCAATAATTGCTGCTGGTGACTGCAGGGGGCATTGCCGCAGATAAGTAACCCACTTCAAGGAGATGGGCGGTGTCAGGCAAAAGGGAAAGCCGCAAATACAAATCAGGATGCTGATGTCTGTTCTCAGGAAATCTTGGCAGCTCACAGCCAATAATTTTGCATCTTCCCCAATCGTTTATCTTGTCAGAAGGGTACAGTGGTTTCCAAGAACAGCAGAGGGAGCCCTTCTGGCCTTAACCCACGCTGGCAGCCGGAGGAGAGGAAAAGCGACGGCCCTTGTGCTGGTCATCTGTCACCTTTGTATTGCGGGAAATGCCACACAATTGCCCAGTGATTGTGAGCGGCACTTGGACGTTTCTATTCTGATGTCAGGATGCATTAAAAGTTGTGCATTTCGGGGCTGGAGTGATAGCATAGCGGGTAGAGCATTCGCCTTGCATGTCGCAGACCCGGGTTCAATTCCCAGCATCCCATATGGTCCCCTAAGCACAGCCAGGAGTAATTCCTGAGTGCAGAGCCAGGAGTAACCCCTGTGCATCGCCGGGTGTGACCCTCTCCCCCCCAAAATTGTGCATTTCATGCACAAAATTAGAGAGTATCTGAGAAATTGTCTGCCATAGAGGCAGGGTGAGGACTGGAATGGGGAGGAGGGGAGGATACTGGGGACTTGGTGGTAGAAAGTTTGCCCTGGTGGAGGGATGGGTGTTCGATCGTTGATGACTGAATCTCAAACATGAAAGCTTTGTAACTGTATCTCACGGTGGTTCAGTAAAATAAATAAATTTAAAAAATTGTGCATTTCACAGACCACAACACCCAAAAGGAGAGATAGAACAAAAGGGAATGCCCTGCCACAGAGGCAGGGTGGGATGGGGGGGATGGGGGTAGGAGGGATACTGGGATCCATGGTGGTGGAAAATGGGTACTGGTGGAGGGATGGATATTTGATCATTGTATTAAATTTGATCATATGGATGCTATATAACCCAAGCACAAAAATTTGTAAGTCTACAACTGTACCTCATGGTGTTTCACTAGTAAAAATTTTTTTAAAAAAATTGTGCTTTTCAATGCATTTCTCATCACCAAGCACCTCTCTCGAGGAATCTCTGGTTTGAAGTGGCCCGGGACCCTCCTGCTAACTGCATCCAGACTAGGTCATGTGGGTGGCAGACAAGACTCGCGACGGTTCATAGACTCAAACAACCACACAAACTTTATTGCAGGCAGCTCTGTACAGCGAAGGCGCCCTCGTCTGAGGAGGGCCAGCAGCGCTAAGTGTCGCATCGCCGTCAAGAGGACATGCCGTAACCGATAGGAAGCCGTGGGCATCGTCCCCCGCTCTGTACAAAACAAAACCTCCAAACTGAAAACTGGGGAACTCCTAATGACAGCAGTCATTGAAATCTGATTGGTAACGCGTCTCTTTTATTCTAAAAGCAAAGTACCTGGGAACTTCAGAGGTTTTCTTTTCCTAAAATAAATGTCTGAGTTGAGTTGCTCTGAGTTAGAAACACGCTGGGTGGGGTGGGGAGTCAGGTTCGGCCGCCCGGGCTTTGTGGGGCTGGCCCGCTGCGCTCCCCGAGTGGGAATACTCGCCGTCGCTTACTCCTTCCGCACCCTTCTCTTCCGAACCGTCTTCACCGGCCCGTCTCCAGATCCTGTGCTCTCATCGGCTTCTTTCATCTGGAAAACAGAGCAGAAAGCGTCCTCTCGCACCCGGCTCCCCCCGCTGGGGACAGTCCATGCTTTACATGCACATTCGAGCCAACATGCCCGAGTTGTCCTGTCCCCCACACAGCTGGAGACCACCATCGAGAAATGGCCCTGGCCTGTGGTTCTTTGGGCATGGTTGCAGTTCCAGGGCAAGTCTGATCTTGCAACTGGACAAGAGCTGCGTGATGATTCCATTTTGATTTTAAAAATCACGGCCAGAGTGCATTAACACATTGACAAACCGACACCTTCCTCCAGTGCCTCACACTTAAATGACATTTAGTGAACATGTTGTGCACCAGTGTTGATGTGTCACAGATTGGTGCCTGCGTACTACCAACAACTACTCAGCATAACATTTGAGGAGTGCATTATGAAGGTGGTTTTGCAGAGACATTTTTATTTTATTTATTTGCTGTTTGGGTCACACCTGGCCATGCACAGGGGTGACTCCTTGCTCTGCACTCAGGAATCACCCCTGGCGGTGCTCAGGAGACCATATGGGATGCTGGGAATTGAACCCGGGTTGGCCTCGTGCAAGGCAAATGCCCTACCCGCTGTGTTACTGCTCTAGCCCCACAGAGACATTTTTAGAACTTCTAGCACTTTGAAAAAAGTGGAAAGGGAACTATCAAATTTAGGTTTAGAATTTTCCCCGTTTAGTTTTATGCTTCCCAGATGAGCATTACTGTATAAACCTGTATGACCAAAAAATCAAATGCAGGTATTATACTAGCTAGAATTCTTCCCAAGGTTGTACATAAAACCTGACTTCTAGCACAGCGGGTAGGGCGTTTGCCTTGCACACAGCCGACCCGGGTTCGATTCCTTCGTCCCTCTCGGACAGCCCGGTAAGCTACCAAGAGTATCCCATCTGCACGGCAGAGCCTGGCGAGCTCCCTGTGGCATATTCAATGTGCCAAAAACAGTAACAACAAGTCTCACGATGGAGACGTTACTGGTCCCCTGCTCGAGCAAATAGATGAACAGTGGAGGACAGTATTACAGTGCAGTGCAGTGCTATTAACATATATATGTAAATACAGATATTTACATATATATGGATTAAAAGTCTGGAAGATGTTTATGCTATTAAAGGTGCACTGAGTCTTTAGCAACTCGACCACGAGCTCCAAGGACTCTGCTCCAGAAGAGAGCACTTGATGGCGCATGTCTACGCTGATACTTACAGACTAACTTTGAAAACTCACAGCAGCTCAGAAATGATGACCAAGTATATGGACTGAAAAAGCTTTCGAAAATGATTAAACAATAAAACATGTTCATTTGGGAGACTTTTTTTTCCACATGAACAGAATATTTACATCACTCTCCAGTAGGTCAAAGAGACAAATTTTCACTCATCCAAGGGAGAAAGATTAAGAGGGAGAGACAAGAAGAGAGGAAGAGTGTGTGTGTGTGTGTGTGTGTGTGTGTGTGTGTGTGTGAGAGAGAGAGAGAGAGAGAGAGAGAGAGAGAAGAGAGGGAGCTGTTTACCTCATCCTCTGATCCAGACTTGTTTGACTTATTGCCTTCTTCTTGTCCCTCTATGATTTCAATTTCCTCTTCACTCTTTTCCTCAGGTTCACCTTCCTCTTCTAGAACACATTTTATTAATGACAGAGGGTCAGTATATTAGACTTTTGCTGTTGAAAAGCAATACATATAACAGGGGAGGATTTATTTAAATTCCAATTGATAAAAGTAACTTTGTTCCATTAGAAATGTTTTTTTAAATCATAACATCATTTTACTATATTTTCATAAATATCAGAAGTTGAGAGGTAAGGGGCAGGCTTAAAGAATTTTTTTAAGCTTTGACATTTAGATGAAAAGCATGCTTTTTTTTAAAAAAAAAGTAAATAGTTTACATATATATGTAAGAGGTTTATTTAAACTTGGCATCCTAGAGTATTAGTGTTTATTTTTATTTATTTTTCTTTTGGGGTCACACTCGGCAACGCAGAGTAGTTACTCCTGGCTGTGAACTCAGGAATTACTCCTGGCAGTGCTCGGGGGACCATATGGGATGCTGGGGATCGAACCCAGGTCGACCGCGTGCAAGGCAAACACCCTACTCTATACTATCGCTCCAGCCCCAGTAATTAGTTTTTAAGTCCGATCTTTCATCGGTGGGTTAAAATTTAAAAAGTGTTAGATTCAAACTGCAGAAGACCCAATCTGGACGCAGACGTGCTGTGGCTGTCGGGCTTCCTGAGCTTTATTTCTGCATAACATGGGTATGGGGGTCTTAGTGCAGCTCTCGCGCCCCCGCCCACACCCCCACCCGAGGGGAGGGTTGTATCTCCGCTCTGGGAAGATGCGCTGTGCCAGGGCCCACCCCACCCTCACTCCTGCCCCGCGCCTGCGCCTCTCACCTGCAGCCTCCGAAGCCAGGCAGGTCCTCACCGGGGGGCTCACCGGGGACTCCGGGGACTCCGCGCTGTCAGGCTCCACAGCCGCCGTGCCAGCTGCAGGTGTCTTGCCAGCAGCCCAGGGCTCTGAGTGGGAAGGCAGGACTGGGAGGTGCGCAGCGGGCCCCGGCCCCAGCCCGAGGGACCCCAGCACAGAAGCACCGTCCAGTCATCCACCTGGGCAGGGACGGCCAGCAAGGGCCAGGCTGTGTGTGTGGTCAGTAGTTGCCCGTCCATCTGGTGCTTGTGTGTGTGTGTGTTTGTGTGTTTGTGTGTGTGTGTGTGTTGCTCCCCGTGAGCAGAGCAGGTGCTCGGCCACTGAACTCGCTCCCCCTGCCCCTGATTTGTGTGTGTGGCTTTTGGGCCACGCCTGGGGGTGCTCGGGGAACTGCTCAGGGCTCTGTGCTCCGGGCTCACCCCCAGGAGTGCTCAGGGGACAATAACCAGATCTGGGCGTCCTGCATTGCAGACCCCCGAGAACTGGGTTTCGGGTCTACACAGCATCATCACGGGCTTAACCTTGTTCAACAGCTTCTCCATCCCTTGGCTTTCTGTCCTCTTCCAAGTCCTCCGGCTTCTCCAGGTCGGCCTTCTCCTCTCCCACCTCCGTCACCTCCTGCTCCAGGGCGCCCTTGGTCTGTGGCCTGCAGGTGTCCACTTTCTTATACTCGACCTCTTCGTATTTTTTCTGTGGGGGTTGAACACAAGCAGTTTCCGCAACATGCCATTAGCGTCGTTTCTGCCACCGGTGATGCCACGCCCGGCCCCAGCATCCAGCGGTCGAGGGCCATGGGGACTTGGGTGATTAGGCTGGAGAATCACTTGCTCGACTCACGACCGAGGGTGTGCGCACTTGGGCACGTCTTTTTCAAGGGGAGGAAGCTCATCCCGCCTACCTTGACCTTTCTGGGCCAGCAGAACAGAGTGATGAGGACGACAGGAAGTCCCGTTGTCACCAAGTAAATGAGCCACAGCCACGGGCGGTCCTCGGCAGCGGCCACCAACTGCTTCAGCACGCCGGGCTGCGGGCGAGAGCAGAGCCACTGGGACACCCCGGCCTCCTCCAGGGATCCCATCGAGCAAAGGCTGCCCACACACAGCTCGCCTCTCTCCACGCCTGGCCGCAGCAGGAACCGCAGGGCGTAAGCTGGACCCTGGAGTGGTTTGAAACTCACCACACACTGAAGTCTGGCTCTAGGTGGAAATTTAATCTTCTGACTCGGATAAATGACCATTTTTTTTTGCACACCCCCTTCCCCCACCTCTCTGTACCCCCTCATCCTCTCCTCCCCCATCTATACAGCACTTGAAACTTTTGGGCTTATTAAAACCTAACTGGGATGGAGAGAGCTCAACGAGCCAACTCTGCTTTATGGGTCCCCCCGAGGACCTCTGGGAGCAAACCTTGAGCACAGAGCCAGGAGTGGCTCCTGAGCACTGGCCCCATAACAGAAAGAAAACAAAACTCCAATCTTTCTAACCATGAAACGTTTTAAGAGTTTCAGAATGAGAACCCTCCTGGGGCCAGAGCCATAGCACAGCGGGCAGGACGCTGGCCTTGCTGGCCCTGCTAGCCAACCTAGATTCGATCCCCAGCATCCCATATGGTTCCCTGGGTGATTAGTGAGTACAGAGACAGGTGTCACCTACAAAAAGAGAACCTCTCTATTTTTACTTTGCATTTCCACATTTTTTCTAAAGTTCAAAGAAACAAAACGTAGATGTAAGGAACAAATTTTTCCTTACAGTGATTGATCTTTTAGTTTTTGTTTTGGGACCACACCCAGCGGTACTCAGGGCTTACTTCTGACTCTATGCTCCAAGATCACTCCTAGCAGTGCTCTCAGGGTGCGGGTCAGCCACATGCAAGGCAAACACTTTAACCCCTGTACTATCTCTCCAGTGCCAATAACTTGATTTTTAAAGATATATCCTCCAATATGATTTTGTTGAAATACTCAGCTTTACTTTATACAGTGTTAAGTTGGGGGTGGAGATAAGCTTGTACTTAAAAAAAAATTAAAAGTTCTTTGCACTCCCCTGAGATAAAAAGCAGTTAAAATGAATCAAAATCATTTCGATGACTGTTCTTTTAGGCTTTGGGTTGACAAGATGGTAAAGGGAATTCACCTCATTTTTATAAACAGCAAGAAGGCATCAGATCCCATGAAAGTTGTTATAATTTAATGAGTGACATGAAGCATAGATGTACATATATGTGTGTATATATGTACAGTTCAATGTACAGTTTAAACTGAAACCAACTCTCCTGTCTACATGAGTGAGCCTCGACATGCTCCCTGGCATGGTGGCACCTTGTCTAGCCGTCCCAGAGGGCAGCACGCTACGTACCTCATTTGCATGAGCGATCCTCCTCTTCACTCCCCAGCCATCCATGGCCCAACGATCTGCCACTTCTCTTTCGGAACAGATAATAAAGTTATCAAAGTAGATATCGGAGGTCATCGACCACAGCTCTAAACCAAGGGCCCGGAAAGCAGTGAGAAGAAACGGATGGTCGTCTTCGAAATAGTCTGGGTTGGGGATCTTCCGAGGGCTCCACACTCCCTAGGGGAAAGGGTCAGTCAGTGACGTTGTCAGACGCAGTCATCCCCCTGACAGTGGGGACACAAGCTAAGGAAAATCCAGTGCATCCAAGTTCATTCGTTAGCCATAAACATTTTTTTTTCACTTGGTATACTGACACCCTATGAAAATCACCGTAAATATGTCTAGAAAGAGCAATGGGGAAATCCCACACAGTCCCATGAGCACGTGTGTGGCCCCACAGGGGCCAAATCCTTCACTGTCTGCCCGTGACAGGTCTCATCTTTAATTCCTCTTGATCACAGGCACACAATCAGTCAACATGAAATTGATAGCGTTAGGTCTCGAGTGATGAGAGTCAGTGAAGTCGAGTATGCAGACCCTCCCTGCCCCCCACCTGACCCAGTGTACCCCCAGGATGGAGCCTGGGCCAGGTACAGGTCTGGGTGAGGGAGTGTCCAGCCAGCAAACACGCAGTCCCTGAAACATACCTGCACCATCATTCTTGTGAAGCAGAACCTCAGCGGAGGCTGACCGTGTGTGCTGCATACAGACCCCCGCTGGCTAGACAAGGCCAGAGACTAACTAGCGGGATATAAAACTACTGGGGGAAATAGGTATCACAGGGTACTGCAAAAATCTAGGGGTGGGGGGGGCAATAGATATCTGGTCCACCTTAGGAAAAATCCAGATTTTAACAGCACTAGAGGATGGGAGGATGGGAGGGAACACTTTGTACGTAATCAAACACAAGCATCGTTACTCAGTGGATCCTCCCCCAAGTTACTCTTGACCAGAACTCACTTCTGTATCTAACAATAAAAAAGAACTTGAGGTGACAGGTCCTCAATTCTTATAATATTCTGCTCAGAAAACAAGAAGAAGGATTTACTTTTAAAATGTAAATGGGGCGGGGGCTGGAGAGATAGCACAGGAGGTAGGGCGTTTGCCTTGCACGTGGCCCCCCGGGTTCGATTCCCAGTATCCCATATGGTCCCCTGAGCACCGCCAGGAGTGACTCCTGAGTGCAGAGCCAGGAGGAACCCCTGTGCATCGCCAGGTGTGACCCCCAAAAGCAAAAAATATATAAATAAGTAAATAAAATGTAAATGGGGGCCTGAGCGACAGCACAGCAGGTAGGGCGTTTGCTTTGCACACAGCTGACCTGGGTTCGATCCCATGGTCCCCCAAACACCGCCAGGATTAATTCCTGAGTGCAGAGCCAGGAGTGACCCTTGAGCATCGCTGGGTGTGACCCAAAAGGCAAAAAAAGAGAAATGTAAACGAATTGGAGGAGCTGGAGTGACAGCACAGTGGGGAAGGTGCCTGTCTTGCAATGGGGTCAACACAGGTTTGGTTCCCAACACCCCATATGTTCCCTGAGCCCCACCAGGAATGATCCCTGAGCACCGCCGGGGGTAGCCCATCCTTCAATAAAAACACGTGTAATATATATGTATCAACTGGAGTGTCTGACTTTGGGTGGCTGAGATGGTCACATCCAGTCACCCTGGGTTGACACATCGGCATGAGATGCGAGCCACTCACGTGGAGCCCTGGTCGACCTGCTCGGGAGGGGTGGATGGATGGTCATTACCTACCTGGTAGCTCGGGTTGTCCACCAGGGGAGGCGTCCAGATTCCTTTGTACTCTGGGTTGTCTATCATGGGCGGTTTCCACTCACCACACCCAATGTGACACGCCGGGTTGGCGATGAGAGGCGCCTCCCACAGGCCGTCCATGTCCTCGTTCCTTGGGGCAGGAGAACACAGCAGACAGTGCTCTGGCTGCTCCGGGCGGTCACCGGCACCAGCGGCAAGAAGAGGGGCCGGAGCGACAGGGCAGCTGGAGGGGCGCTTGCCTGGAGTCAATCCCTGGCATCCCCCCTGTCCCCCGACCTGCCAGGAGTAACCCCTGACCCTGGGCACCGCCAGGTGTGCCCCCTGTCCACTCAAAACAATAAAAAGAAAGAAGCATGGGACTGGCATGGGAAGGTGAGGAATGCTCACCAGTCGTCAGGCTTCTCCGCCTTCGGGTCTGGAATGTTCTCCGGCTCGTCGTCAAGCCAGCCCTCCGGTTTAGTCACACTTGTGTCTTCTATTTGGGCAGGTTCACTTTCATCCCTGGGAAACAGCATTTGCTTTTCATCGGGAGTTACCGGGATGTGTAAGATGCACGCCCCAAAATGCAGAAGGTCCCTACCATCTGCACTGCCCTTCTCTCTTTGCAATAACACCCCCAGTACTCCTGGCACTTAGCACTCCAGTCTGCTAGTGTGGGTGTTTGCGAGGCAGCCCCAGAGCTGCCTCCCACCTCCAGGCCCCCAGGAACTGGGAAGAGAGCTGTCCAGCTAGAGTCCCCAAACAACCGGCTTTTAAATGTATCTATGTGAATGAAGGTAATAAGGTCTACGTGGAGACACCACAAAACCTATCTGCTGGACAAAAATTATTTTGGTGAATGAGAGAGAAACCCAGTTCCTCTCTTTACCTGAGCTCAGGTTACGGGAACTGAGCATTTCTGTCATCGAAAGTGGCTGGAGTTCTGGAGAACAGCAACCGAACAAGCACTCAGCAAACGAAAATGCTGTGGTTAAGCCAGCTTAACCAGAGGCACGAGTGAATCCTATGTATATAAGCTGCTAGGCATGTGGTCATTTCAAAACCAGGTAATAAACTGAAAATACTGCAACTGTATAAAATTTGCACACAAATAACACTGCTGGTGTTTTTGTTCCAACGTTTTCCCTGAAGCACAGGAAGTTTAAAAATAAATGAAAAAAAGAAAAGGCAATTCAATTCAGATATTAAAGTCATAAAACATATACTTTAAAGGTATAAAAGTAGTCCATTTTAGGAAAGCGTTTTACCCCTAAAGAGTCTCAGTGGTTTTAATATATGTTTAAATGTGTAAGCGCCGCCTTGTACATGGCTGACCCGGGCTACGTCCTGGTGCCCTCCAGGGTTCCCTGTGCCCAGCCAGGGGCAATCCCTGCTTGCCTGCTGCTGGGTGTGGTGGGTCATACACACGCGCCCCCCACTTCCAGCTGGCCACCCCTGCTCTGCGTCAGGCCCCTGCTCACCAGTCATCTGGCTTGACGGCCTTGGGGTCGGGGATTTTGGCTCTGTCGTCCCAGTCGTGAGGTTTCTTGTCCATGGGGTCTTCAATTTCTTTGGGGGGATTAATAGGTGGAACCACGTCTTCTAGCAGGCTCCCCTTATTCACGACTATTTGATCAATTAATATCTCAAACGTGTCATCTGGATTCATCACTAGAGACCAATTTAAATACATTACCACACTGCAGGGACATTTAGACAAGTCTTATAAATAAACTACAACTAAATATCATGGATAAACTTTTCTTCAAACTAGAAGCGGAACAATACCAATGTGCTAAGTCAAACTGCATGGTGATCACCAGCTACGATGCCTTCTAAAATTAAAAATAATTTTAAGTAAAAATAAAAAAGCGTTATTCATTTTAAAGTAAAACATACCCAACAGCTAACTCAGTACAGGACCAGTCACCTTTACTCTTTCCTGTAGAGTACAACTCAATCACTTTTTTAATATTTACAGATCTTAGGGGGGGGGAACATCTCAAATTGAAAATGTTTGCAAGTACACAGCAAAAAAAATTTTTTTTCCTGACTCACTGGTGAGTTAAGTTATTTGGCCCATTGGAAATGATCACGTTGGACAGGAACTTAGTGTTGAAAGCAGGTAAAGGGATTTATCTGATAACCTTTCAGTATCTGTATTGCAAAATGAATAACGCCCAAAAGGAGAGAGAGAGAGAGAGAGAGAGAGAGAGAAAGAGAGAGAGAGAGAGAGAGAGAGGACACTGGTGGTGGGAAATGTGCACTGGTGATGGGACGGGTATTGAAACATTGTATGACTGAAACCCAATCATAAACAATTTTTTAACTATATATCACTGTGACTCAATTAAAATTTTTTCTTTAAGTTACTGGGCCCATACTTCCTCACCCTGCATGTTTAATGTGCATTTCCTACACACAGTTCATCTGGGAAGGCTGTTAAATGAGAACAACTGCCTGCTCGCTGCCTTTCATAAACTAGGGTAATCAACAGGCTTTGGATCATGCCGGCCACGGGGTCCCACTCTGAGGGGCGGGCTGGAGACACGGTGCAGGGGAGAAGGCGCTTCGCCTTGGCTTGAAAACCAGAAAACCAATGTCCAGGCTTTTGTCAAATGATTAGTAGCGACATCGACTAAAGGCGTTTGTGGGACAGACTGCAGGAACGCTCCATGTTCTCGCCCTCCTCTTCTCCCTGTCCTAAGGCTTCTGACCTACTCGGCAGCCGCTGTGACACAAGACTGGATCACCACCACCAAGAGAAAACACTTGGGTGCCCAAGGGTAAGGGCTAAAGTGTTTTCTTAAGAGGATGAATGCCGGAGGGGAGCAGAGTGCCCGTCTCCCCGGAGCACGCCAGGAAGTCCCAGGGAGCAGCAGCTCGGGTGAGTGAGCTGGAAGGACATACCAAGGGTATAGAGGTGAGTCTTCTTGTCTGTGAAGAACTTTTTAAGGTCCGTCTCTGGAGGCCTGGCATGCTTCTCTTCAAAAACTCCAGTCTGGGGATGTTTATGTCTGAAGATAAAATGAAGTTTATAATCTTCGCCACACTTATCTGGTCCAAACATAATGGTGTAAGATGTTTTATCATAAAAGTTTTCCTTCAAAGAGAGACGAGTATTGGGATTAGTCCACAACTAGAGTATTTCAGGAACTCCTCTATTCTACCCAACAACGGGTGGCTTATACCAATGGGCAAAAGCTAAGAATCCTTGACACAAGTGACCCAAGCAGGTGTAGGTATAGGAAAATGACACCTTTCCCCGGCAAAACGCACGTCCCAGAGCCCATTCTGCCCCCTTCCTGGAGATGGGGGACTGTGAGCGCCCTGGCAGCACCCTCCAGAGCTCTGGTGACTTGGATCCATCTGCACTGTCGCAACTGAGTCACGCACAGGGCAAACCTACGGTCTTGGCACTAACATGTCCAGGGTCAGGAGACGTCAAGGTGCTCGTCCCAAATGCACCTGCCCTGAGTCCGAGTTCCAGCACCACACGGTCACCTGAGCCTGGCCAGGTGCACCTCTGGACATCTGCAGCACCGCAGGGCCAAAGCACCATTGTATCCTCTGGCCCGATATTTGAACTCATGGCCCAATTAGCCAAGAATTGCCAGAGGTGGTGCTGGAGCAATAGCACCGCCAGGAGGGCATTTGCCTGGCACACATCCAACCGGAATTCAATCCCTGGCACCCCATGTGCTCCCCTGACCAGGAGTGACCAGGAGTGACCCAAAACACACACACACACACACACACACACACACACACACACATACACACACACACTGAACTAATGGCCCAATTGGCCAAGAATTACTAATGAAGGTGCTGGAGTGATAGCACAGCAAATGCTCTCTCTCTCTCTCTCTCTCTCTCTCTCTCTCTCTCACGCACACACACACATAAACATACACACACATTTACACACACATACACACACGCGAGTTTCCAGTGGGCCCTGACCTCCACGTGAGAGAGCACTGTCCCTGCAAGAAGCCCTACGGTGATCGCCCTATTGACAGTTTTTCTGGAAGACACCAGAAAATGCTGCTCCTGAACCCACAGTGGAATGAGATCCACCCACCAAAACAGACCCAGAAACAAGCCCCCGTGGTGCTACTACGGCATCTGACAGGCCGGCACGAGGAAGACTCCAAGCTCCTGGGCACGTCCACTCTTCGGCCCGGCCTCCTCACTGCCACACTGGGTAATGGCCGGCAGCTCTGCCTAAGGCTTCTCCAGAGCCTTGGTACAGCACATCAGGTTAGAAACACTCAGTGCTGGATTTTAATCTTTGTAGCTTCCAGGCCTACCAGAAACGGGGCCACTCTCCCCCTGCGCCCAGTGGGTGCCCACACACATTGGCCAGCTGCCTGCCCACGGCTCACTGACCGACCTCTGCCCTCGCAGAAACCCTGACAGCATTGCAGAAGAAGTCCTGAGCAAGGTCTCCATGGCATACGGCCCCCTGATGCCCCTGCCACTCTTGGTCTCCCTCAGGCATTTCGTTCTGTGGCTTTGTCCTACTCTGAATAAGTGCATGAACTGCACTCGGCGAAGAAACCCACTCTAGGCCGAGATTTCAGTGACATGGAGAGGCTTCGTGTTACTTGTAACTTATAAATGTGGCAAAGGTCTCTTTGATGTTGTGACTGATTTACAGACAGATGCTCGCAAGTCACAGTAGGAAGTTACTCGCTCAGGCTGGGGCAAGATTCCCTAAGCTCAGTTGAGAAGGACCCTTTTAACTTCTCTAATGACCCCTTAAATATACTTGAGGCATTGATAAGGTTTCCGTAAACATTAAAATAGCATACCAGATTCAAATCGTCAGTGTCTGCTAGGAGTTTAATGTATGCACCGCCACAGTCAATACCGTCTTGAAAATTCACTTCATATCTAAATAAAGGGAGAAAGAATCAGACTGCTGATAACTGCAGAGGACAGATGGACAGCACTTCAAGACCTGAGTTCACTTTCATCGATTCATTTAAATAGGAACTTTTAACCTCACCAGAGGCCCCCACAGAGTCTGGGGGATCGCATAATGCACCCACATTTCAACATGCACCAATTTGGGAGACCCAGCTTAAAAGTTGTCATGAAATCTTAAATTATATTCACAGTACTTGAGAGATAGCATCTTTATCTTATTAATCCCCTTTGTTTCATGTTACAAAAATTAAGAGAAGACAAAGACTTCCATTACTTCTCTTTTCAAACACATAAAGACCTCAAACCGGTTCCTCCTGGTTCTCTGGATGCCAGTAATTTAGTATCTGCTTTAATAAATTTTAGACTTATTTTCCTATCTTTGCTTCTAACTTTCAAGCTATCTTTGGCTTACCTGGCAAGCGGTAATTCACATTATGGCCAAAATCAGAAATTTGATTCCTTTTTAAGTATTATATTTGTTAACATGAAAGAGACCCTTTTCTTAAGGTCACCAACATTCAAATCAGAAAATTATACTGTCTTATTTTATGGTCCAGCAGAATACTACAACCTACAGACTTTCAAGAAATGAGAAAAACCAAGCTTGAATAATGATAAATAATGAAGCCCAAATACAACTACTTTGAATTCAGATCCAGGCGCCGTAAAGCAGATGTCTCCATTAAGCGAGTGACACTCATTGTTTGGTGTCCCAGGGCATATGAAAGTAATGTTTACCCTACTCTGCTCAAGTGTCAAAAAAGGACACTATACACACCTAGGGCTGGAGTTGTAGCACAGTGGTAGGGTGTTTGCCTTGCACGCGGCCAACCCGGCCGGCCCGGGTTTGATTCTTCCGTCCCTCCTGGAGAGCCCGGCAAGCTACCGAGAGTATCTCGCCTGCACGGCAAAGCCTGGCAAGCTCCCTGTGGCATGTTCGATATGCCAAGCACAGTAACAACAAGTCTCATAATGGAGACGTTACTGGGCCCGCTCGAGCAAATCAATGAACAACGGGAGGACAGTGCTACAGTACTACAGTGCATACACACCTTAACTAAAACACGCTTCATTGCAAAGAAAAATAAAAACAAGAGCAGAGGGCACTGTCCTCCCATTGTTCATTGATTTGCTTGAGCGGGCACCAGTAACATCTCCATTGTGAGGCTTGTTGTTACTGTGTTTGGCATATCGAATACGTCACGGGGAGCTTGCCAGGCTCTGCCATGCGGGCGGGATACTCTTGGTAGCTTGCCGGACTCTCCGAGAGGGATGGAGGAATCAAACCTGGGTCAGCTGCATGCAAGGCAAATGCCCTACCCGCTGTGCTATCACTCAGAAGTAACATTTATATATTTCCTCCTTGTTTTTTTAATTCAAATTTTATTGCACTGTAACTGTACTTGTATAGCTCTATTCTGGTTTTATACTAGCACAGGTAAAACAAGCTTGAATAGTTTACACTGGATGTAGCAGGATGCATGCAAGCAATTTCAAAATAAAACTGGCCCTGTCCTCCGAGGGGAAGGAGGCTGTCCATGATGGCATGTACCCTTGAAGAGGTCTCTTCACTTGAAAGGCTAGCCGTTGTATTTCTTCGTTAAATAAATTAGCTTCCTGGACTCCTACCGCTAATTGAACAGCAAGAGTTATAATTCCTTTTTGAATGTGAGGCTGAAAACTCAATAGCAAGTAATTTTTTAAAAAAAGTCAAAATGATTTTAATATGCACTGAAGAATTTATGGAGGAAGAATTCTGCATGTTAAAGCATATGTATGTAATATTTATTCTAACCTAGTTTTCACTTAAAACCTCAGGATACTCCTACATACACATGCATTGTGTATTGTAGTGATAATAACAGGGAAAATCTGGATTTTTATACCTAGCAGTCCTGCATACACAAGCTATGTACAAAATCCAACTTAACAAAAGTGACAGAATTTCAGAGAAAGTATTTAAGAGCCTAATAAAACTTACTGAACTATCAAAGGTTCATCGGCAAAAATAAAGGGTTTTGCTAATATAGCAGATATTGCATGGTGCTTGGCTCGTGACTTCAGCACCAGTCCTCTGTCACCAGGCACTCGGTTCTCTTTCAGTTCTTCTATTTCCCATCTTCCTAAAATAGAAAGCAAAGTGATCAAACAGAAACAAGACAGACTGACTCTAATCACCAGCACTGTAACTAATAACATTTTTTTCACGACTGATCTGGGAGAAACAAATTGAAAGATCTCAATCAGGATATTTCCACAGCTGCAGGGATACCTGACTCCTTTTCAGAAAGTGCTTTCATGTTCTTAACTGAAATTATAGGAAATGAGCAAATGCCCAACACTGCAGTGTCTGCCTGAAGATAGAAGGCTGGCCTTATATCTCATAAGGCTTGGTTTGTTCTCTGGTGAGTGTTTTGTCTGACATGTTAGGATCTAACACCACTGCTTTTTTTAAAATATCAAAACTTTATACATGAGACAAGGAGTATCCATGACACAAAATGAGCCTTTTGCCCAGGCCTATTGATTTCTAACTGTGTGGCATTTGGGCTGCTCTTCTTCCTGTGCTGAAGTGATTGGAGAGATTGGAATTTCATCTTGACAATGGCACATCCCAGGAACACAAACTGCAGCCCATTTCCAGGCAAGGGGACAGTCCATCGGCATTCGCAGACTCAGCGCTCACCCGCAGTGGGCACTGGCTACTGCTAAGCTGGACCTTGGCCGGGCCCGAGATTTCCTGCAGTTAATGTCAGGAACAAGCTCCTGAAATCAAACCCAAAGCAGCATTCCACGCAGAGCGAGGCCAAACGTGTGTGCGAGACTTTTCTCCTTTCCTCTCTGTGGCAAAGAGCCACCTCATATAATTTGCATAAAATACTCTAGTTTTCAGAAATAACAGGTAACTATTGAAAAACTCAATTTAGCAAAAGTGGACGGATTTCAGACAGTGTGTCAGATCGCAACACTCAGGAAAGGGTGCTTGGGAGCCCCGGATGCTCTCCACTTTTCCTTCCTTTCCGAAACGCTAACTGCAGCCCCGACCTCACAGAGAGCCCAGCCTGGCACCAGTGCCTGCAGCGCCAGGCACCCTTCCAGCATGTGGTCCATATGGAACAGTGCCAGACACATTCTGTAGTGTCTTGCTTTCATGGGAATTTTTAATGGAGGTGCGTTTTTTTTTTTAATTTTCAGTTTTCTTCTTTCCCTATTCCCCTCCCCTAATTTAATTACACTATATTTTTCTTTAAAGGTTGAATTTGACTTCTCTCACATCAAGTTGTATTATCACAATTTACCTATGGTTTGAACAAAACACTCTGCTTTAAGAACTAAAACGTTCTGTTTAGGCTGTTCAGGAAACTGGCCATCGAGTTTAAGCCCAGCTGCCTTGTACAATGGGAGAATGCACGCTGGGAGAATGGCAAAGTGAGTGTCCAGCACTTCATTTTAGAAAACTTGTGGCAACACTATTCTCTGATGAGAGGTTTTTTTTCAAACTTACATAATCATTTTCTATTTGTAAGTTCCCCCAGCTCCAGACTAGACCAGGTAATATAAAGTCGAGTATAAGTAAAATTTTTTATAAAGAATTTACATGGTTTTATAAGATAGCCTGAGAGTGGGTTGCTTATGCACTGGTATTTATGGCATCTATTCTTTTGTTAATAACTTTATCTGAAAACCTTTGTAAAGTAAAGTAAAGTAAAGTAAAGTAAAGTAAAGTAAAGTAAAGGCCCTCCCGTTGATCATCGATTTGCTCGAGCGGGCCCAGTAATGTCTCCATTGGAGACTTGTTGTTACTGTGTTTGGCATATCGAATACGTCATGGGGAGCTTGCCAGGCTCTGCTGTGCGGGCGAGATACTCTCGGTAGCTTGCCGGGCTCTCCGAGAGGGGCAGAGGAATCGAACTCAGGTCGGCCATGTTGGCTGCGTGCAAGGCAAACGCCCTACCGCTGTGCTATCGCTCCAGCCCAGGAAAACCTTTTTATTCCTCCAAATACAAACCCATTTTTCCCTAGGACTTGCCCTTTCATTCAGATTTGCCTAGGAATAACTTTTACTCATGTGGTGCTTAACAAAAGCTGTGGCCAACTACACTAAATACGAAATATTCCTGCAAAGAGATCACGTATTGGCCTCAATTATTCTACAGCCAGCACTGCAAGTACCAAAATCCAAAATCCCATTTTAGCACCTAGAACTTTACAAGATCCCCTATCTTCAACATTGCTTCCAAGGAGCTGAAAAATCGGCCAACACCACTAAATCTAATATGCTAAAAATGGACTTTTAGGGATATTCGCATTTACTAAGACTACAGACACTCAACTGGGGCGCTAAGAAGTTTGATAGTGGCTAACTCACACGGGTTTTTATTTTAAGCTGCAGGAAAATACTACAAACCATTTTTATCCAGTGAGAGGGAGACAAAGTAGCTGCATCTTCATTTTAAAACCTCCCACCAGTGGCTTCTTCTAAAATTCAAACGTGAAGCAAAGGCTCCCTCAATGTTATGGCCAGTTGTGCGCTGCCCCTGGTAGGTCAGAGGCGTTAAGCCGGGCATTCTGTTGGACAGGGTCTATTTGCATGACCATTCTAGGCCGTGCTGTGCCCTGAAGCTTGGCTGTGCTGGGGGAATGACTCCTTTCTCTGGAAGGGCTGAGACGATAAGCATTGTGTGTGTGTGTGTGTGTGTGTGTGTGTGTGTGTGTGTGTGAAACTTCCACGCAGACCCGCCCAGCAAACCCATGCCAACCAACCACAGTGGCACAGCAGTGGGGCCCTGTCCACACTCGAGGGAGGTGGGAGGAGCCCAGCGCTTTGGGCTGGAACCAGGTGCCCGGGTGGGAAACCCAGGGGTGTAGAAGACGGTTGGCCAGGAGTGGCGCCCCAAGAATTGGGATGTAGACGGAATGACTGGGGATTCCACCAAGACCAGAGGGGACTGAACACGGAGCAGGGGGCCTGAGCCCCACACAGGTTATCTGACGAGAACCAGAGTCCCAACAGCCACCACACGTGGCTCAGGCTGGCCCCAGTCAGTGTAGAGAGAGAAGCTTTACCATCATAGATGGACATCTCCTCGTCTTCTATGCCATCTTTCTTTGCTTTCGATAAGACCCACCTGTAAATACAGAGAACAAGTTTATCGTTAAAAAGAAAACTAACAATCCATAAATACAACATCAAAACACAATACAAGACAACCCACAGTCCCTGTGCATTAAAAAAAAAAATCAAGAATAGTGGCTAAATGACTAAATAAGGATGTCTCTATACATTATCCTGCAAGGCTAGTGTTAAGGTAAACTTAGAATCTTCAATTTTCTAGCTATGAAATAATTCCCCACCAATAAAATAAACTTATAATCTTCAATTTTCTAGCTGTGAAATAATTCCCCATCAATAAAATAAAAATAAAGAAATGCAGGGTGGGCACTGCTGCTGAAAAATTTTTAAAAAAGGTAGTAAAGACTTTCAGAAAAAATAATAATATCTCTTAGGGTAGTATCTATAATAATAGCTTTTATTTGTACCATTACTTAGGATATAACAGTAAGTTGAGCTTGTCATATAATCCGTTCTTAGGAATGAAGAAATGCTTTACATTCATAATTCATTAGTGCATTTTCTTTGTATATGAATGATATATTCAGTACAGACTGTAAATAAATGGTAAACAAGTAACCATTCAAACTAAACATTTCTATCAATAACAAAAATGTGCTCCTTTTGTCGTCAAAGTACTCAAGTCCTTTCCAGAGTTCTAAGGCAGAGGCAGTTTCCATAGGCCAATAATCAGTCGCTTCCAGAGAGAACCAAATCAATGAAAACGATCCCTTCAATAAACACTCACCCAGCCAGCTTCCCACTATCAAACGTTTCAGCAAAGTAGACCTCTCCTAAAGGTTGCGGTGTCTTATATGTAATCTAGAAAACAGATTTTTAAAAGAAAGAAGCTGAAGGTACTCATCTCCACAAATACTTGTATTAAATTCACTGGCCCAGCAGGATGTAATGCACCCACAGGGAAAAATAAAACACATGGGTGCAGGATCTCTGATCTCTAGGTTTTGCATTTTAGTGGTGAAAATATATGTAAATATGGAAGTCTAATTATGAGGGGGGGGCGGGGAACCAGCTTACACACACAGAGATTTGGGGGCTCCTAACAGGAGAATAGGAGCTGAGTCATCAATAAGACACCATCATGGCTGACATGCCCTTGGAAGGATTCTAACATTCTAACAGGCAGCAACATCTGGGGATAAAGATTAGAAGCCATAGAACTAGGCTGATCAAAAGCTTGTAAAAAAAAAAGTTTGTAAGCACGAAACACAGTTCCACATACCTCCCTGCCCCCAGATGGCCCACCAGAGAGAGCAAGCGCAGCCTGTGGAGGGCAGAGGCCTTGCCCAGGGATACCCAGGGATGCCCAGGGTGGCTCTGGCTCCCCGGGTCACTCCCAGTGGTGCTCAGTGGCAGGTCCGAAGCCTGCCCTCTGCTCCTTGAGCTGTCTCTTGCCCTGGCAGCCACGACTGGGAAAGCACCTGGGCTCCAGCCTCTGGTGGGTGCCAGGTCCCGTGGGCTCCAATGTCTCCGTGGGTTCTGGCCTCAGATGGGCTCTGGTGTCACATGAGTTGCCCTTCTCAGCCCACCCTCCACTCACCAGCAGCATGCGTGCCATTACGTACACTGGATTGACAGGTGATTCTATCTCAGTGACTCGAGAAGTCTCAAAATCGCGCCCTAACCATGTTTGTGAGTGATCCCCAGCACCAGTGAGGAGTGGCAGCTGCCAGTGGTAGTTCCTACCACCCGACAGGCCCCCTGCAGGAGTGGCACCCCCATGGTGGGCACGTGCATGTCTGCCTCTCTGCAGGCCACAGGAATAAGCTGTGAGCAAAACACCTTGTGGAATTGGAATTGTAAAGGAGAAAGAGGGGCTGGAGCGATAGCACAGCGGGTAGGGTGTTTGCCTTGCACGCGGCCGAGCCGGGTTCGATTCCCAGCATTCCATATGGTCCCCCAAGGACCGCCAGGAGTAATTCCTGAGGGAAGAGCCAGGAGTAACCCCTGTGCATCGACAAGTGTGACCCAAAAAGAAAAAAAATGAAGGGAGAATGAATGAGTACTATGAACAGCTGACCAACACCGCGTTGCTGCTCATACAGACCTCCACTGGAAGTGATTCCGAGAGAATTCTTATGCCAGTGCTCTCACGTCCTTCTCTGTGACTCACCCGTAGCCAGTATGGCACACACAAAATGGACGTTTCTCAGCACCAAAAATACTACTGGAAAAAACGCTCCGATTTCAGATAAAGCCTTCTTATTGGGGTGGAGGGAGGGTCTCCTGGCGTACCCGGGACCCCTCCCCACGGTTCCCGTCAGCTCTTGGGCCCTGCAGGACTGGGGATGGTACAGGACACATGGTGGTGCTCAGAGGCCTCTGGAGTTTCACATGGGCATGTGCCAGGAACCGTCAGCCGACACGGGCCAGTCGCATTCAAGGTAAGAGCCTTAACCCTGTACTATCACTCCAGCCCCTAAAGTGCTTATATGTGTGCGTTTTCAGGGATCATCAGAGTGTCCAAAACACTACCAAATTTTCTGGAGAATTCCTGTTAGACAGCAGATCAAAACACAGATCTGAGCTCTGTGGAGAGAGAAAGCTGTAGTAAATCCCTTCCCTCACACCTCTCTTTCTAAGTCATCCTCCAACTTGGAATATTCTCTCCTCAGGGAAATAAAAGACACTGATTTTACTTGTAGGAGAGCTAGAGTCACCTCTGCTTTTATCTGAAAAGGGCACAGAGGGTCAGAAACCAGGTTGGAAAACCCTTTATTTAGCTTAAGTCCTTCATCCTTCTGCTAGGGACATTCTCCTTTCCTGCCTAAACACGTCTGCTGTGATTCCTGGGAGAAACCTGTGACATGCTGTGCTCATACCCCATAGTCAGTGGCACTGCACAAGATGGGCATCAGTTGGTTCGAGCAAAGCCATGCTTTCTATTTATTTAGAAGCTCAACACCTTTAGGACAGAGATCGGTCTTGGGCACCCAGGTCTTCCTGCCTACCGACATGTAAAGGAAGAGTTTATCGCTCTTTTAATAATCTCACCTCGGAGGAGTATTCACCTTCATTCCCATCAATCTCTTCTGACTTTTCATCAAAGTCTTCCAACTCAACACCATCATCCACAGATTCTGCATTAATTGAGGTGAATAGAAGACCCAAACATAGCCAAAAGCCTTGGAAATGCATATTGGTTGTCTCTGAAGTGAAAATAAAAATTAAGGTGAGAAAAATACATGCAGGTAGACTTACAAAGAATAATTCTTCCCAAATACTTTCTCTAATCGAGGCTAGCCTTTAATACAAACTCATCAAAATTATTTAAGCCTTTAATACAAACTCATCAAAATTATTTAAGCCATGCTTTGAAGGAGTGAAAATTCAGTCCTCAAGTCTCATGAACACCAATTTTACCGCTGCCTCCAAAACCCAGAGACAGTGGAGCAAAATCATAACCACAGAGTCTGAGAAACTCAAACTCACATCACACAGGGTCCCCACCCCACCCCAAAAAAACAGGAAAATAATGCATGATTCTGAAAGGTTTAAATCACTTTTTAAAAAATTACAATGCCATTGAGATATCTAAACATACAACTGAAAATGTTGTCATGAAACCTAAATACATTTGTATAAAAATACCAAAAAGAAAAAGTATTTGACCACAGCTTGTCCTGACAGTATTCTGCTGTAACCCAATCATAGCAGAATTAAAGCACTAAGAGGGTTACAGGATTCACGGCCACACCAGTGACAGAGTAGTGAGCAGTTACCACCTTTGCAACTTAGGAAATTCAATTCATGAGATCCCAAATGGAGGTGGGAAGGTGAGAAATAATGGTCTCATTTAGTGTAGAAACAGAATATGACAAGATTTGGCATCCTTTTATCATAGAAACACTCGATAAACTTGGACTAGAAACTTCCTTAAAGACCCTCTATGAAAAATCCAATAACTGATACCATCTTAATGATGTAAGACTGAGATCTTTCCTCTCAACCCCTGGAACAAAACTAGGCCACCTGTTTATGTCTTTTCTCCTCTGCATGGTTTTCTATCTGGTTTATTTCTTTTCTACTCACAGTGGGTAGGGCATTTACCTTGCACGCGGCTGACCCGGGTTCGATTCCTCCGCCCCTCTTGGAGGGCCCGGCAAGCTACTGAGAGTATCTCGCCCACACCGCAAAGCCTGGCAAGCTACCCGTGACATATTCGATGTGCCAAAAACAGTAAGAACCAAGTCTCACAATTTGTTGTGAGACGTTACTGGTGCCCGCTTGAGCAAATTGATGAACAACGGGAGGACAGTGCTACAGTGCCACTCAGTCCAAGTGACAGTAACTAGGCAAGAGGGAGATGTGAAAGACAGCCAAATTAAAAAGATGTAAAATTCTCTGTCCAGATACAACATTTATTTTATGTGGAGTAAAACCTAGTCCCACCCATTTCCCCCCATCTCCCCCAAAAAAAAGCCTTTTAAAATAAAGGAATTCCGTGGAATTTTAGGACAAAAAAAACAGTATACAATAGCTTTATTTGCATTTATCAACAATGAATAGACAATTCAGAAAGCACTTCCACTGACAACGGCTTCAAAAAGGAAAAGGCCAGGAATAAATGTTAGCAGAAACAGAAGTCTTGCATGGGAAAGCCAACAAATATTGCTAACAGAAATTTGGAAGACACAAATAAGTGGGGAAATGCATGTCCGGGGAATGGGCAAGTCCTGGTGAGGCATCAGTACGGGGCGGGAATTTTCTGTATGCGTGTTTTCTGTATTCCCTTCCCAAGGCGTCCCCTTCCTTTGGGTTGCCTGCTCTTACATGGTTTTAACAGGAATTTGCTGACGGGGTCTGAGGTATGGTATTTAATGCTAGTGCCACCTGCCTTCCCTCCTGGCACGTGTACAGAAACCAGGCCAGGCCAGCTGAGGATGCTCCTGGCATCATCAGGTACCCTGGATGCCTTGGTGCTGAGCAGGGCAGAGGCACCCTGGGGAGCATGAACCTGTGCTGGTTCTCTGCACTGCGCCTGGGCCCGCTCACAGCACCGTGCAGCAGGAGCGACCTGGGACGGGCAGGGAAGTTTTTCTCCCCAGTCCCTGACGCAAGGCAAAGGATTCCACCGATACCACCTCAAAGCCCTGCCGAATCCACCACCAGGCCAAACCACCAATGGTGAAGTGCGGCTCACTCAGGGGAGGAAGTCAGGCTCAATCTCCCGTCCTGGGAGCAGCGTCTCTAAGAGACCCTGCACACGGGCCTGGGGCCACCATGCTAGAGTGGGAGCAGTCGGAGACTGACTGGGAGTGAGGTGTGATGTCAGAGAGGAGGAGGAGAGCTAGGGGAGACCCAGGGAAAGGCCAGCACATCGCACTAGTCTGAGTGAAGGATGGAGAACCAGGAGAGTCGGTGGTGGAACCAGCCCATTTCCTGGCCCAAGAAGTGCACGGCTTTCAGGTAGGCCCAAGACAGGGAACCCAGGACGTCCCGCTGGGTCTTTGTTCCCTTCAGCCTGCCTTCAACTACCCGGTTCTACCACAGGGTGTGTGGGGGGGGTAGAGAGGGGGGAGAATACTGTCGTTACAAGCTTGATATTATTTTCTTAAAGGTATGTAGGATAAAAATTCCATAGTTTGGAGAACCATCTACAAAGTTCCAAAAGAACAGCCCACAGCAATTTGTCCAACACCAAAGAGACAGAGAATCTGAGCTCGGCAGGACTGGAACTCTCCCTTCTGAGGGCTCCTGGGGGCTGGGTAAGTGGAGCAGGGTCCTGTCTACAACGCATGGCAGTGCAGGAGTGACAGGAGGAAAGGCTGCAGAGGACGGAGATGCATGTTACTAAGCAACCGACTGGACCAGTGTGTTGCAGAAAAGTCAGCAGAAGACTTCTAGGCAATTAGGGAGAGGCCAGTGAAAAAGTGGGGGGAGGGGGGAGTTTCCTAGTATCTGCAAAAACCTACAATATCTGTGGAAGGAAACATTTTTCTCTAGAATTAGCTCCTAGGGAAAACATCTGGGCTGAATCTTCATAGAATAGAGGTCTTTAACTCTGGTTTTAGGAGCAAGAACTGATGATGTCAACGTTTGTTCACAGAAATTTTCAATAGTAAGGGCACATTGTTGACAACTATTTCTATGGATGAGAGACGCGATGGTCTTGAGAAAGTCGGCCGTGTTCTGATCTAAGAGTGCAAGCAGAAATAAGTCGTTTTCACTCTACCACTCGACGTGGATGAGTATAGAGCTCTTATCTGGAGCTATTTCAGAATCTTGTTCCAGACAACCAGCTTTCAGCAGCTCAGTTCATGATTTACTCGTCTAGACAGGTTAGCGTCAGAAACTTCAGACGAAAAAGTTTTGTGTTGTCACATCATACAAATAAAACCAGACAAATTTCCACCAGAATGAGAGGGTATTTTGGGCATTGTCTGGCGCTGTAGCACCTCAAGAAAATGTGTTTGCACGGAGCACAGAGAAAGAGGAGAAACAGTACTGGCGGGTTCTCCTCTGAGGCTGTCTCCTTTGGCTCCGAAAGCAGCCTGCTGTGGAATAAACTGCCTCAGGGATGGAGTCATTCTGCAATGGCTAATGCTAGAAATGCAGGCGTGGTCAGCCAGCAGATAACGAAATTCATCACTCATGACTTCACTTCACAAACATTTTGATTGTCTCTTATGTGCCAGGTACTCTGGTTTGCCACTGAGTTTGCAGGAATCAGCGAAACATATATGCCTCCCACAGCACTCCATCACCACCACCACCTGCAAAAGTTTCCACACTAAACCAATGCCCAGGGTGTAATAACTATAGCAAGCCAGAGGAAAGCTAACTAGGTCTAAGACTTAGTTGTCTCAGGGAACCGCACTGAGGCAGTGAAGAGAGTCAGAGAAATGGACACAAAGTGAGGGGGCCAGACAGGGAGCCCTGATTTCCTAGGTTAAGAACAAAGGAAGCAGTAGGAAGAATTAAAAGGGAAGGAGAGAGAACAGGAAGAGGAAGTACTTGCTGTGTTTCAAGATACTAATCCCAATTTCTCTGACATGCTCTGTAAACCTATCACAGATCTGTAAGGACCACACTTTCAGGAGACAGTAACTTGGCCAGGAACAGCCCAGCTACCATCCAGATGGGGCAGGCTCGGGCTTAGGCTGGGACATCTGCCTCTATCCCTGGACTAAGGCTCTGGGAGTCATGGTTATTGCAGCAATGCTTGGGGCTTACTCCTGGCTCTGTGCTCAGGGATCACTCTTGGCTCGATTTGGGGAAAACTTGGGCTCTGCAGTGGCAGGAGTTCAAACTGGAACTACTGCATTTCAGCCAAGTGCCTTAACCCCTGTACTATCTCTCCAGCCCCTGAAGGTCTAATAATTTGATCCTTGCTAAGTAACCAGGTAGTTCTAGGTCTATAAAATATAAAACAAGACTAATTTTTAATGATACTTCAAGCTTTTGACATGTTCCAATTTGTGTGGGTTTTAGATTTTAAAGGTCCTATGTCTAGGTATTTGCAAAATATGTTTTCTGCACACATACTGTTGGCTAAACAGACTTTAAAACTCTTCAGCAAAGCAGTTAGGAATGCATCTCAGTGAAAGAACACTTGTTTTGCCTGTGTTTGGTCATGGGTTTGATCTCTGACACCACACACACACACACACACACACACACACACACACACACACACACACACACCTTTCCAGCATAGATTTTAAAACCGCTTTAAGATACATTAATTATTAACTTCAAAATATGACCTTATATTTGCATGACACTTTAAATCTTGGCAGTCACTCAATAAAGGACTGTTGGTCCGTATTCTCTATGGGATGTGACTGTCATTAAAAAAGATGAATTTGTGTCTCTTGGGATAAAATGGGTGGAATCAGAGGTGTGCTGTGTGAATAAGCAAGTGAAAGAATTGCTGGAAGTTCTCGCTCGTGTGTGGAATGTGAGTAACGAAAGCAGAGGGAAGCACAGAAACAACAAAATGATGCCCAGGACTCAGTGAAGAGGCGGTCAGGGAGGGAGCGATGAGGGTGGGGAGGACCTTTCATATGTGAGGGCACCAGTAACAGACGCATCTCATTACAGTCATACCAATTATAGGTCAGTGGAGGGAGGATGTAAATACAAAATCTAAATTAATCTCACCCCCTTTCTTTAATCCTGTCCATGGATTTATATTCTCTTTTGAATAGAGTCCAAATTTCTTAATCTAAAAAAGGATGATACCTCCTTTTTTTTTTTTGGCAGGGGAGTGGAGGTTAGGCCACACGTGCAGGGTTCAGGGCTTACTCCTGGCTCTGAGCTCAGGGACCACTCCTGGTGATCTCAGGGGCCCCAATGGGGTGCTGAGGATCAAAGTTAGGTTAGCTGCTTGCAAACTAATCACCTTATCCACTGTACTCTCTCTCGGGCATCTCTTGGTTTAAAAGAGGTGATATGGTCCAGGGTAGGGGCCCATCTGCTGGGAGGTAAGCAGCTCCTAGGAGTTCTGATCCTAAGGCTCTCTTTGGGGGTGGGGATCTGGGTCACAGTGGTACTCAGGGGCTATTTCTGGTCCTGTGAGCACAGGAGTGATCTCCGGCCACTCAGGTGCATATTGGCTATTGGAACTAGGCTCTTGGGAGGCAAGTACTCTCCTTCCCGTGCTCTCTCTTTGGTTCTCTTCTTACATGATTATACTTACCCTCGGTTTCAACTTTCAAAGTCTGGCCAGATCTCACTGCAGGAGAACCACTGTCAGCTCCCAATCACTACTAACGACTGGGAACTGGGTCCTCCCCAGACCTGCTCCCCCTAGCCCCTGGATTCCTCCCACCAGAGAGCCGCAAGTCCAGTGACAGTCTCGGTTGGCTCCCCTCCCCTCGAGGTGATTGGTGACAAAAACACATCTGCATATTTCTTTCTCTCACTGGGGGAGTTTGGGGTCTACACCTGGCAATGCTCAGGTGTCACCGATGCTCAGTGAACTCGGGGACCACTCCTGGCAGTGCTGGGGGAACAGGCAGGATGCCAGGAATCGAACTCAGCTGGCCCGTGTGCAAGGCAAGCACCTACCCGCTGTCCTATCGCTCTGGCCCCACACCTCCCAGTTTCTTAGCGGTCCTACCTGCAGGCCACAGCCTAACTATAGTCCCTATTTCTAGAAAAGGCCCGTCGGCCCCGCCTCTCCCCTGTGCACTGACCAGTCGCCTGCCTGACAGCTCAGGCTGAGGCTCTCACAGGATGGCCACTACCTGTGGGGTCACGTGGCAGTTCTCAGTTTTCAGTCTCAATTCTGTACCCCTAAGACCTTTGGTTGTCCCTTGCCCTTCTCCCCGCCATGCCCACACTCCCGGGCCCCTTGCCGCCCTTCCTGCCACTGTGTCCAACTCAGTGTCCATGGGTGCCTGTGGATACACCCACGGGGGTCTGCCACAAGATGGTGTTGAGGGGCTGCAGCAATAGCATAATGGGTAGGGCATTTGCCTTGCATGTGGCCGACCCAGGTTCGATTCCCAGCATCCCATATAGTCCCCTGAGTCCCACCAGGAGTAATTCCTGAGTGCAGAGCCAGGAGTAACCCCTGTGCATCACCGGGCGTGACTCCCCCCGCAAAAAAAAAAAAATAGATGGTGTTGAAAAAATTACCTCTGATCCCAAGTCTCTGCTGCGTGAGCACTCAGCCACTGAACCATGTCACCATGTACACACCAGCTGGGGGCGAGACCAGTGTCTAGTGCTGCTACTCAAAAGGCAAAAAAATCCCTCTGGCCTTTTGTTCCCTTGGGCAGGGAGAGGGGGAAAGGACTTAATGGCCTTAAAGAAAGAGTCATTTAGATCCACAATTGCAGCTGCTAATGTGGAGCCCTAAAGCCCGGGAACACACAGCCCAGCTGGGCGGGCTCCAGGTCCTGATCATCTAACATCGGCTCCACGCAATAATGAGTCTCATTCATGAATCTCATTCACCCCCCACCCCTTCCCCAGGGAGCATGCGGGGATCTCCGTGCTCCTGAAGAACGCGGAGATCCAATATTCCAACGTGGTGGGAGGATTTAGCCAATTAGATGGGAAAGCAAAACTCCATCTGGGGGAAAGCGATCAGACCTGAAGAAGACCCAAAGTGTGTGTTTGGGGGTTTTCCCCCAGAATGACCACGGAACCTAATTCTTCTTGTTGTTGTTCTTGTTGCTTGTTTGTTGGGAAGGGAAGGGAAGGGAAGGGAAGGGAAGGGAAGGGAAGGGAAGGGAAGGGAAGGGAAGGGAAGGGAAGGGAAGGGAAGGGAAGGGAAGGGAAGGGAAAGATGGAGTTAGGAGAGATTGGACAGCATGTGGTAGGTAGGGCATGTTTGGTAGGGCATGTGCCTTGCAGCAGGTCACCAGGGTTCAATCCCCGGCACCCGTGCGGTCCCCCGAGCCCAGCCAGGAGTGATCCCCGAGCGCCGAGCCGGGAGGAAGCCCTGAGCGTCGCCACGTGTGGCCCGAAACACAGCACCAGAGCGTCGGTGCGTTAAAAAGAAAAGAAAAAGTTCGAGGCAGCTACAGGAACACTCGGAATGTGAGTCTTGCGCTTTCCCTGGGGTCTGCCCACCCGCGCGCCAGTTTTGCGGCCGTTTGCTTGGAAACCCCCAGGCCCGTGCCTCTTCTGGCAGCGTGGGACCGCAGCTATAAATAAAAGCAACCAAAGTGTCTGATCGTAAACAGGCTTTAGGCGATAATGAGTCTCCCGTAATGAGGGTTTCGCGAGGATCCAGCCAGCCCTGGCGCGCGGTCCCCCGGCGCGCACACCTGGCTCCTGGCAGCGCCTGCCTGGGCGCGGGGCCGGCGGGGCCTGGGGTGGGCCTGGGGTCTGCCGGGGGTCTGCCGGGGGTCTGCCGGGGGTCTGCCTGGGGTCGATTCGGGCTGGGAGCGCGCTCGGGAGACGCGGGGCAGCGGGCAGGGCAGCGCCCCGACGCGCCCGTGGGGGGTCCCCGTCCAGCCTTGGGGGAGTGCGTGGAACGGGGCGGCGCAGGTAACCGCTGCAGTAACGGCCTCGGCGCCCCGGGGTGCCCGCAGGCCGGACGGGGGTGGGGGGAGCCCCGCGCCCACCAGGAGCCCCCGACCGACCCGGTGCGGGCAGCGGAGGGTGGTTCCAGCCCAGCGTCCAGCCGAGAGAGGGGCGCGGCCGGGCGCCTGTCGGGGGGCAGGTGGGAGAAGCGGCGCCGCCCCCCACCCCGTCCGGCCCCCCGCGGCCGAGTGGCCCGCGGCGCACGCACCTGCCTGGCGGGCCCGTCTCGGCGGTGGCAGCTCAGATGTCCGAGTCGCTGCCACTTGGTGCCGGCGTCTCGCACACCAACGCCGCCGGCGGCCGCCCAGCAGCGACTGCTAACCGCGCATGCGCGTGCGCCCCGCGGCACCTGCTGCCCAACGGCCGCCGACGGGCGCCCCGGGGCCTCCGCGCGCCGCGTCCCCGCACCTTCCCTCCCCTCCGCGCGCCCGGGCCGCCTGGGCCGCCTCCGCCGCCCGCTGCCCTTGCCCCGCGCCCTTGGGGGTCGGGGGCATCGCGCCGGAGAACGGGATCGGCGCCCCCAGACTTGGCCTGCAGGGCGCTGGGCTAAGATGCCGCGGTCTTCGCGTGCAACTCCGGGGAGCCGTCCTGTGTCCAGCGGGTGTGTGTAAAGACACGTTTATGTGCATTGGTAAACATACAACTCCGCTGTTAACGCGTTCGTTGATGCAAACGGTTGGCAACGCGGGGAACTGAATGCGTAAATATTATGTACATGATAATATATGTAAATTTACATGCATACTTATGTATGTATATGTATGTATCTCTGTCAAAAAGGCACGTGGATAGTTTTTTCTTTTCTTTTTAGAAAACTACCAGGGACGTCCAGCATCCTCTTACCTTCTTGTGCCAGGCATTCCAACAGTCTGTTTATTCAACATAATTCCATGACTCACAGCAAATACGCATACTTATGAAAGATTTCCAAGGGATTCCCTTCAAAAATGGCAGCAAAGTGGAAAACTGAACATTAAAAATCTAATTGGAGCTTAACAGGCCATTTTTAAGTCACACTTGACTCCTTGTCATTCAAATGCTAGGTTTCTGATATCAGCTTGGTTCTTTTGCTAATTTTGGACTGTTATTTTGAGGGAAATCTCTTTGTCTATTGGAGGAGGGGGGACCCAGTAATATTGGGGGCTATTCCTCTCTCTGTGCTCAGGAGTGACCCCTGGCAGAGTTGGAGGGACCACATTCGGTGCAGGGGTTGGTAGGATGCAAGGCAAGTGCCTTAAGCCCTGTCTATCCCTCCAGCCCCCATCCATCTATTTTGTGAGAGTATTTTGATAGGAGTTTAGAATGGAAAGGGCAGGTGTCATTCTTACTGGAAGTCCTGCTGAACTGATTTGCACGTGGAGCTCTGTACGCTGGTGGTAAAACGACTGCTGTATGCAAACCCCACATTTAGAGGAAGAGGATGTTCTGAACAGTCTATTCAGACCCAAACATGACTGCCCGGGAGAAAGCAGGCCTGATGCAGAGTTCTGCCTAGCCACTTCCTAGCCTCCCTAAGTTGGGTCCAATGTATATGGACCAACATCACGTGTGTATTTAGAAACAACACCACATTAAAGGGGCCAGAGAAGTAGCGCTCCGGGCACCATTAGGAGTCATGCCTGAGCACAGAACCAGGAGTAGCGCCTGAGCACCTGCAGGTGAGCAAACCAAAAAGAAGCGGGGAGAGGGGGAGGGAGGGAGATGGAAAAATAGTAGACTGGGGAGGGCCCTTGCCTTGTACACATTGGAGCCAGGTTCAATCCCAGGCACCCCATACAGACCCTGGGCAGCACCAGGAAGTGATTCCTGAGCACAGTGTCAAGAGTACACCCTAAGCATCACAGCGCCATGAGGTGTGGCCATCCCCCCGCCCAAGCACATTAGGTGCCCCCTTTCTGAGCACTATTGGGAATCCCCAAAGGAAAAAAAATTCCATTAGAGCAAGGAAGCACTTAGTCACTCACCCCTGACCCTGCACCACATAAGGTCACTTTTTTTTTTTGCTTGTTGGATCACACCTGGCGATGCACACTCAGGAGTTACTCCTGGTGATGCTCAGGGGACCATATGGGATGCTGGGGATCGAACCCGGGTCGGCCGCGTGCAAGGCAAACGCCCTACCCGCTGTGCTCTCTCTCCAGCCCCACACAAGGTCATTTTTAACATCAGCCTGCGAGAAGGGAAGAGCAGGTTCTCCGGTCCTCTGGAGCGAAGTGCAGAGTTTGTGGGAACCCCACCAGAACTGTGCAGGCGGGATCAAGTGCCAGTCTTGGCTCGGCGATGGGCCTGACTTCTTTAGGTGGCCACCTCGGTACCAGCTTTTGCTCATTTTCCATCGCAATGCACGAGGAAATTCTCAGTAAGGTTTCTGGGAGCATAGAACACGCAGCCGGTCCTCCTTTCCTCCCGCGTGTGCTTCCTGAGAACAGGCTGGGCTGTGCCAGGGTGGGAAGGGAGGGACCGGGGAGCCCCCTTCCTTTCCCACCCCAGGAAGGGGCACGCGGGGACCTGCTGTCAAGTTGCTTAAGCACCACACTGCAGAGTAGAAACTCCAGTCTTCTGCTTGCTAGGTCAGGCAGTTTTCAGCTGAAAAGTGAGGGGATGATGCGGAACGGCAGAGAGAGAGAGAGAGAGAGAGAGAGAGAGAGAGAGAGAGGTGACCCCAGAGCTCCACATCCCACAAGTCCCTCTGCAGTCTGCAGGCCCGCGGTGTCATACCATCGGGCCCTGGGGATGGAGCCCCAGCCGACGCTGGTGCAAATCCTGGGTCCGAAAGGCAGGATGAGCAGGAGTCCGACGTGTGGGGCTGCGGACAGTGGCCATCCGGATTGAGCAGAGCGCCCAGTACTGAGTCTGGCCCGGGCTTGTGCTGTCTGCTGCTCAGACGCCCAGGAGTGTGTCAGCCTGTCCTCCCGCCCACCCAACCACAAACACCACCCCAAATGTCCTCTCGAGCTACTCCTCTGCCTCCCTCCATCCTGAGCTTTAATACTTCTTCTTTTTTTTTTTTTTTTTTTTTTGGCCAGAACCAGTTTTAATGATTGCAATAGTCATTTTCTAACTTCATCCTTTTATATCTATTAGGCAATGTTTTCTTTAAAAAAATAAAAAACGTTCACTTCTGGGCCCAGAGCTACACGTAGTACAGCGAGTGGGGCGCTAGCCTTGCACGCCACTGAGCATGCTGGTGCCCTGTAGGATCCCCCAGTCCACCAGGAGGGACCCCTGAGCACCGAGCTAGGAGTAAGTTCTGAGTACAGCTGGGTATGGATTGGGGCAGGGGGGTAGGGGTTGGAAAAGAAAAGAAGAAAATGCTGAGTTGTTTTCTTTTTTCTTTTTTCGCTTCTTTTCGGGGGTCACACCCGGCAATGCACAGGGGTTACTCCTGGCTCATGCACTCAGGAATTACTCCTGGCGGTGCTCAGGGGACCATATGGGATGCTGGGAATCCAACCCGGGTCGGCCGCGTTCAAGGCAAACACCCTACCCACTGTGCTATGGCTCCAGCCCCTGGGTTGTTTTCTAAAGTGACTTTTACATTCTCATGAGAGCATGAATGGGAGTTCCGGGTGAACCGCAGCCCACAGAGGCTTGGAATCAGTCTTTGAGAGTTTCGAGAGGCCCATCAGTGTTCTTGCTGTGGTTTCCAGGGCCCCATTGTGTACCTATGTAGTTCCAGATCTCCCCCGAGTATCTTTTGTGATCCCACCTCATATGAGTGTTTATTGACACACAACCACGTCAGCAGACTGCATTTAAAAAAATTTTTATAACGTTGTTAACAATATTTGATTACATTTAATATTTGAGCCCAAATCCCACCACCATTATACCTTCCCACCACCATATTTCCATCCAGTACCCCAAACCCTGCCCCCCAAACAGAACCAAAATAATTTATTTTGTATTGCTGATTATGAATAATCTGCTAAAAATGAGACACAAAGGTTTCTTAGGGGAAAGTGTGTGAAGATTGTTGTATTTCTACCCAGGAGTCATTAAGCCCTTGTATAAGGGATTAGTAACATGTTGTTAAAAGTTGAGCTTTGTGTGCTTATATCTGTATCTGTATAAATCTATTTCCCCCTAAGGTTGGTTGCCTTCTACTTAAAACACTGTCGTTTGGTGTGCTACTCTTGGAATATTGGTGGTATAAAGTATGAGATGTCCAGGAATAGTTTCACTCATGAGCGAGACTTGTCTGAGTGTGTAAAGAGTGGCCATGAGCATGGTGGCAGTTGAGTTCTAGAAGTTTTTGGCTGCCGGAGCTGGCTCCTTTGAGGCGAGAGGCCTCACCCACCCCCTCTGGTTGGCCCGAATGAAACAGCCTGGTGCCAGGTCAGACTGCATTCTAGATTATAATTATAAAAAAAGAATACCTTTCACTGATAAGAGCAACTTTTATTTATTTATACCCAACAATGCTCAGGGCTGACTCCTGGCTCTGTGCTCAGGCATCACCCATTGACTGGAGAACCACATGTGGTGCAGCAGGTCAAACCCATGTTTGCTGCATGCAGGGCAAGCACCTGCCCATTGTACTATTGCTCCAGCCCCATAAAAGAGCATTTTTTAATATTTGTAAATTGTACCTGTCCTTTGCCCATTTTAAAGATCTTTTTCAAATTTAATATTTTATGTGATCGAAGTAATAGCCTTTAATCTGCCTTCTCACTTGAATATTGCATAGCACTGTCCTCCCGCTGTTCATCAATTTGCTCGAGCGGGCCCAATAATGTCTCTATCATGAGACTTCTTGTTACTGTGTTTGGCATATCCAGTACATCACGGGTAACTTGCCAGGCTTTGCCGTGCGGGCGAGATACTCTCGGTAGCTTGCCGGGCTCTCCGAGAGGGGCGGAGGAATCGAACCCGGCTCGGCCGAGCTGGCTGCATGCAAGGCAAATGCACTACCACTGTGCTATTGCTCCAGCCCTACTTGCGTATAAAACTTTATTTTTCTTTTTATCACCATGTTTTCATCAATCTTCTTGCTGCATCCAGATTTTGAGTTATTAATTTTTTGTTATTTTTTTGGTCTGGGTATGCTCAGGGCATACTCCTGGAAGTGCTCAGGGCTTACTCCTTGCTTTTTGCCCAGAGATCATTCCTGGCTATGCCCGAGGGATCAGATGCGGTGCTGGGGATCCAGGGTAGGTCGCCTTGCTTGCCTGTGAGCAAAGCAAGTCCTGTACCTGCTGTGCTGTATCTCCAGCCCTGGTTTGATGAATTTTGTTAAATAGATGTTACTATATTGTAGATCAGTTGAGAGTTGCATGTATCCAGTAC